ATACAAACATACTGCAAGTCTGTATGATGCTCCATTATAAAAAGGATGCCTAAATTTCTGCTGAGTATGAAATGAGGGACTACAAAATGCAATGAAACTTGGAACACAAATCAGAATCTGAGCATAACTGATCTTCTCACATCAAACTGGTCTCGATAAAAGGATGTGGATTTGTTAACAGTACTACTTGAAAAGTAAAAATTAAATTGAAGAAATAGAACAAAAATTGAAGCAAAGTTTTGGGAACCTTTTCAAAGCAAAGGCAAGAGTTTTAGAGGGTAAAGAGAGACAAAGATTGTTCTTTCTAAATGCGGTGGGGAACAGTGCAAGTTAAAAATTCAATCCACACTCTTGAGTGATGTAATTATACGGACCTAACTCCTATATGATCTAACAGAAGGGCTTCTCCCATCAACATAGCTACTGCCTCTTGGGGAGGTAGAGTATCTATTACACCCACAAGAGAAGCTTTCCTGTGGGCGTAGGTAGCATCTTCACTGAAGTGCTATAGTGGTCCAGCTATGCTGCTGCAGCGTTGTAAGTATAGACAAGCCATTAGTTAAACTGATGCAGATCCCTAATGTAAACACACTTATACTGCTTAAACAAGGTGTAAATAGATTTAAGTTTGAAATGGTATATCTTTCTAGCATAAACAAGGACTATTACTTATAACTGTCTCTTACCGCAGGTGGTTAGTGTGGTCCTGTTTCTGGTTGTATGCTAAGTTAACAGCTAAGAAGACTGGTGGCTGCTTTAAGCCTTCGTATGTAATAGAGTTTGTGAGTCAGGTTGTCTTTTTGTTTTCTTAAGGGCTGTTGCAGTCTTACTCCTTGTTCCTTGGGAACAGTACAATTTCAAACATAAGCTTTCATAGTGTGGATCACAAGATTTACCTGGTGTTCAAATATTTAAAGTTTCACCCTGTTTTGTACACTCGAATAGGGCATGGAGGCTTTTGAGATGTTTAGATGATCAATTCTTATGCCAGTCAGTAAAACATCAACAACTCTTAGTTCAGCTCTCAACCCTGGGTATCTTCAGATTTTGACAGGGCCTTGACATTGCTGTAGAAGCAGCACACTCAACCCCTAGGAAGGAGAATATCATTTTTGACCAACACTTTGGTCTTCCCCAGGCCATGTACACCGTTCCTTGTTTGGAAGGACATATTTCCCCTAAGCTAGACCTCAAAATGGGGGTGGGCAAGAGCAGATACAGAAGAGGAAAAAGATGGGGAGGGGAGAGAGGAATCCCAAAAGATCTGTTCTTTTACCCCTCAACAAAAAAACAAACCAGACCCATATTTCCATTAGCAAGGATATGGAGGATTGCTAAATGTGATGGGCAAGAGTGGAAATAGGGTGTGCTTCCCCAATACTTTAACCCTTGGTCAGTGTATAACTTTAGTACAAAGGGTTAAGCACATTTTGACCTTGTGAGATTGATCTATATAGGCCCTGTCACATCAAGGAGCCTGCATTAATTTCCTACCATGATGACTCAGGCCAAGAATCACAAATATAATGGTTTGACTTGTGATCATTAAAACTCAGATGCTTTTCCAAATAATTGTAACTTTTTAGGGAAAAAATGGCCTAATTTGTATTGTGCTGATGTAATGAGTCTACAAACACGGGGCCAATTTCTTCCTTCAGTGCTCCACAGAAATAATGGGATTACAACAGAGCATCTTAGAGGAGAATTTGGTTTACCGACTTTTTTAGTCAGTGTATTTAATAAATAGCCTGCCTGAGATTGATCACTGTACTCTAAAGCAGAGGTAGCTAATAGTAAATCAAACATTCTATGCTGCCATGATCCCAGGTCAGTTACTTCCAAGTGCTTCTTTAATTAGAACACTGTTGGAGCTGTTGCTGAGCAATTAGACCTAAATACAGTGATTCTCAGTTCAGAAAACACTTTGGTGAAATCCAGAACTATTTTAGAACACAATAGGGATACATTTCGGATCGGCCACTTTCTAAGCTGCAACAGCACTATGGTTAAAGAAACAAAAACATGTCACAGTTGCCAAAGCACAGCAGGACCACCAGTCAGCAACTATTGCTATATCAGAGTTTTGGGAGACTTGAAGTACTTTTCTATTAGTAAACTTTTGTTCCCTGAAGCACGTACAGGGCTCAGTTCTGTATTCCTTACTCTTGAGCAGTCCCCTTGAAGTCCATAGAACTGACTGTGCAAGGTAAGAACTGCAGGATCAGGCCCATATTCTGATTTGATATCTATTCAATTATTTTTAAAAGAGGATTGCCTTTTCCATAGAAACCAATGAGTTAAATAAAAAACAGATGTTGAAACACTACTACAAAGCAACTTCCAAGAATAGTCTAACCCCAAACCAAATCCCTCCCGTTATATTTTCCCACAGCTCAAAGAAGGCCTCATGGGCAAAATACTGCCTGTGATCTTGTTTTATATATTGTGTGTGTGTGTGTGTGTGTGTGATTACAAGGAGCAAATTTTTGAAAAGCCTAGTGGTGTCTGGGTGCTTTTAGGAGAGAACAGTGCTACAGGAGAACAGTTTCCCAGTGCCCTGAGAGAATATGAAGTTGTAACTGCATTCTGCTGGGCAGAAAGAAAATATATTTTTAATAGAGGAAAGGATAATCATTAATAACATTTATACATCAGTGTTTTTACAGACATCAACATAATACATTCTCTGCCCCGAATAATTTACAATCTTTATTTCATAAAAAAAAAAGTGCAGGATAGGAGACAGGACAGCAGTACATGAGTGGGTGAAATCCTGGCCTCAATTAAGTCACTGGGTAAAATGTCCATTGACTTCAGTGGCGCCAGGATCTCACCTTCTAAGCAGGAAGAAGACATGGAGCAGAGACTGGAAAAGGAGGCTAAGGGAATGGAATATTGAACAAGCAGGGAAGGAAGAAAAAATTAGGGCAGAGATTACAGAGGGTCTTGTAGGTGAGGATGAGGAGTTTGCATTTGATGTGGCAATGGTTAAAAAAACACGCAGTTTCAGCCTTCTGGATGACGGCAACCTGTTCAGCATAGCTCTCTTGTCCATCATATTAAAGTGTCTGCCTGTATTTTCATTGTGCTTGGTCGGTATATGTTGGTAAAGGTGTTATATATTGTTAGGCAGGTCTGTCTTCCTATTTACATTGTACCCTGTTTGAACCTTCCAGCGGCTGTCATTCCTGACACAGAATACTTTTGTTAGACATGCTACCACTGAGCCACCAACGATGAGCTGACATTTGACTTCTGGCTCAGATGGTTTATTATCAGAACGCAAATAGCCAAGTTGTCCTTGATTAATGAAATGTGTGTATAGTCTCAGCCTTCAGTGGAGTTGGAACTATAATGAATTTCCTGCTAAAAATTGGCACCTGTTGTGATTTGAACTGTAATATGACCTGCAAATTAAGTCTCAAGAGTTTATTTTTGATAGCTCTGATTATTACCCTTGATTGGGATTTGGATAAATTGATGTTTTCCCTGCAGTATATTTGTTTTCTTTATCCACCATTGCTAAGTTTAGTACATTTACCTGTCTGTAAAAGAAACAAAAGTTGGCTGAATCTTTGCAGAGTATGGTATGTAACTGTGTGTCTATACAGGTTAACTTTTTACATGAATAGAAAATATGTTTATACTTAAAATATTTTCTTTGAAAGACTTCAGCCGTACTGAGTTCATTTATCCTGTGCTGGAGGGCTTAGCAGTTGACAGCCAGCACAGAGGGGACTCCATACTCCAGTGTACTCAGCAGAGGAGATGACTACTCTTTACACTGCCGTGGAGTGGGGGTTTGGTATGTTGGAGATGGGGTCAGTGGGTTTGGGCACAGTCCAGTCCATACAGGAAAAAAACAAAGTAGGACCCGAGCAACAGGTAACATCTGCTACTTTCTGCCATGCCTAGAAGTAGCCAGCTTTGGGCCTTGAGAATTGTGATGCCCAGCTCCTTTATTAATTTTATTAATTATTTGTATTGCTGTAGCGCCTTGGAGCTCTAGTCGTGATCCAGGACACCATTGTGCCAGGATTCTTCACAAACACAGCACAAAAAGACAATCCCTGTCCCAAAGAGCTTACAATCTAAGTATAAAACAAGAAATGACAGATTGGGGAAACAAGGAAAGTTCAACCTTACCCAAAGAGCAGTTAGCAATGGTTCACTGTCGCACTGGTTGGGTCCTGCAGGGATCTGTCCTGGGTCTGGTACTATTCAATATTTTTACTAATGACTTTGATAGTGGAGTGGAGAGTATGGTTGTAAAATTTGCGGATGACACCAAGCTAGGAGCAGTTGCAAGCACTTTGGAGGTCAGGATTAGAATTCAAAATGATTGTGACAAATTGGTCAGAAATAAGAGACAAAATTCAGTAAAGACAAGTGCAAAGTACTACACTTAGGAAGGAAGAATCAAATGCACAGTTACAAACTGTCTCGGTGGTAATACTACAGAAAAGGATCTGAGGTTAGTGGATCACAAGTTGAATGAGTCAATGTGACACAGTTGTGAAAAAGGCTAATATTCTGGGGTATGTTAACAGGAGTGTCATATGTAGAACATGGGATGTAATTGTCCCGCTCTGTTTGTCACTGGTGAGGCCTTGGCTAGAGTATTGTATCCAGTTTTGGGCACCACACTTTAAGAAAGATTTGGGCAAATTGGAGAGAATCCAGAGGAGAGCAACAAAAATGTTTTAGAAAACGTTTAGAAAACCTATCCTGTGAGGAAAGGTTAAAATAAGTTGGCATGTTTAGTTTTGAGAAAAGGGGGCGGGGTGGGGGCGGGGCAGGGGGCTGGTTACAGTCTACCTTTATTATCTTGTCCAATTTCCACATGTTTATTAGTCCCATGAAATAAGTCGATAGGCAAATGGGATGGAACTTATCATTTTAGACTTGTGAAAAATAGACTAAATGATGTTTGAACGGCAGTGAGTGTTTCCAAGGAGGGAATGACTCACTGAGTGCATTTTTTCTTTCAATCGTTCCAGGTTTTCCAGGACCTCGGCACCTCAGTGCTATCTGGTGCTTTTAAGGGGTACAATATCTGTCTTTTTGCATATGGACAGACGGGTTCAGGAAAAACGTACACGATGATGGGAACTCCAGTGAGTCATAGCCTTCATTACACTCTTTTTTTTTCTGTTTATTAAATTGAAGTTTATGATTAAGATTGATCCAAATTAAGCAAAATGTTTAAGCATGTTTTACTAGGGATTACTTGTGCTTAAAATTAAGCACATGCTTAAGTACATAGCTAAATAATGTAGCACAAGCTAAAATCATAAAAGTGTGTGTGTGTGTGTGTGTGTGTGTATATATATATATATATATATATATATATATAATAAATAAATAAAATTCCTTTTGTAG